TCATGGCCGCTCTGGTGTTCTTACCTGGATAAGGGTCGGGTGGGGACAGTGATCAAAGGGATCAGGTAAGTGGGGAGCAGGGGGGATTTTTCTCCTCTTTTCCAAACGTTCTATAATGTGGCATTTGTATTTATTGCAGTAATTTCAATGATCAAGTTTAGGTTTTCCACTGACATCTGCAAACCACAGCCTAGATCCTGGGATTCCCATTTTTCTATTTCTTGAGAATCCACTTTCCCTGAGCCAAGCTAAAAGCAGAGGTTAGTCTACCGTTTAGAGCTGGCTTATTGTTATTCTTTTAAGTGTTTTCAGTGGTGTAAACAACACATCCTCTTAGAACTTTGTCACTCTGGTATTATCTGACATAAGGAGTCTGGTCTCAGAAGGGGGGGGTTAGTGTTTATCCCTCATTCCCCAAAGGAAGTTGGATCATATAATCAAGATTAAACAAATATGTAAACTTTGGCTGCATTTTATCCTTACATACAGTTGGTTTTGCAAGCAACTTCCCTTTAGATGACTGCAGAGCAGGGTTTCTTCCCATCCCAGCACTCATTCAGTCTCCAGGCCACAGTGAAAGGACATCTGTTTAGGATTCCCCAGGCCGTGTTTTGTAAAGAAACTCTGATTGAGAGATAAGATTAGAAAAAAGCAACAGTGATAGAGGGGAAGATAAAAATAATCAAACAAGGGTGCTTGTGGTCTTTAGTACTTGAAGGACTTCTGATCTCTGGTCATATTTAATGTTTCCTGGGGAGTTTGCCAGCGGTGGGGACCTTGAGAGAATCCGGCCTGTGGGAGCCTAGAGGAAGCTGTAGGCCAGAGGCTGCAGCATGCGTGGGGAGAGTGGGTTCTTGCTTCTCCTGATGGTTTACACCAGGAGGTATTTCCTCCGCTTGTTTGATTTTTGTCCTGCTGAAATAGTTCTCCGGTGGGCTCTTGTCTTACCCTTGTAGTTCGAGATGGCCGCAGCTTAACTCTATGTCCACCTTCTTCGCTGCCCTGGAGGCCCCCCTAACAGGCAGTCCGGTGTGCTCAGCTAGAGGCCCCAACTGCCCCCCCCCCCACCCTGCATCATTCTGAGCCTCTCAGGCAGTAGCACCCTCACCCCTCAGTCCTGGGAGGCAGTGGCTGCACAACCTCAGACACTCTCCCACACCAGCTGTGTTATTTGCCCTCCTTACACAATGTCCAGCTCCCCCTCACTCCGCCCCGCACCCACTGCCCCTTGTGTTCCCTCAGCTCCCTGTCCTCCCTGAAGACCTGACCCTAAGACCTGTACCAGTGCTGGCACCTAAAGTGATCTGGATCATACTCTGTTGTCATTGCTTGTTCCCCTGTGTGGCTTCTCCAACCATGAAGAAACTTGGATCTGTATCAGGGCAGGGGTGTGTGATCACCTGAGCATCCTCAGAGCCCAACACTAGCAAATGCATCTGCAGAAAGGATGGATGGAGGGATGGATAGATGGATGGATATGGATGGGTGGGTGGGTAAGGAGATGGATGGATACATGGATGGATGGATGGGTAGATGGGTGGGTGGGTAGATGGGAGGGTGGGTGGATGGATGGATGGATGGATGGATGGATGGATGGATGGATGGTGAATGGATGAATAAAGGATGAGTAAGTGAAGTAAACATTTTGCCCCACAGCCTTTCTCCACCAGTCCAATGCCTAGCAAGCCTGTCCAGGAGTAAAAGGAGTCAATAAGCATCCTTTTATTTACCCCTCCTACATCAGGGGCTGCAGCTCAACCCTTCTGCCCATCCTGTGTCAGTTCCTAGAAACCTGTCAGTTCACTCAAACCTGGCTTCAATCGAAGCTATCCTTAGCTAAGCCAGCTGTATGACTCAGGGCAAGTAATTCAACCTCTCTGACACTACATTTCTTCATTTGCATGAAGGGAATAACAGTAGTCCTTACTCTGTGGGGTTATTATAAAGCTCAAAGGAAGAAACACTTGATAAACCACCAATCCATAGTTGGTGTCCCATACAGGTGACCGAATGCACTTTATCAATTGGGACAGTTTTGGCTGCAAATATCAACCTGTTGTATATGCAAAAGAGGGGTCCCGGAGTGAAAAGTTTGTGATGATCTGATTGGCCTGGATCTAGAATTGGGGTGAGGCCAATCTACTGGACCAAAAGCTGAATCTCCTAAGGAAAACTGGGGCTTAGTAACCAGAAAAGAGGAGTGGATGGTGGACAGGCAGAAACAGCCCATGCCCAGGACTAACTGCAGGAGTTACAGGAAACTGGAGTTACTTTCATGACAACACAGGGTCTGTGTGAGGTGATGCCCAGCCTACCCCAGGCTTCCCCTTGCCCTCCTTGGGTAAGGACAGCCTGACATTCCACCTCTCTGCATCACACATGGCCTGGCAGAAGAACCCAAGAAAGGGATTCCTGCTTGGAACCCAGTTAACCTTGGGCTTTGGGATGCCCCTCTTCCTCTGAGGGCCCTTCTCCCATCTGTAAAATGAGCTTATTGGAGAAAATTGATCCCTGAGGTCTGCTCTAGTTCTAACCATCACAAAGGTGGCAGCTGGCATTTACCAAGTGCCTGGTGTGTGCCAGGCCTTCTTTGCTGGGGGAATCAAGGATGAAACAAAAATGTTCTGTCCTGGTATCTCCCTGCCCCTTCCTTACCACATCTCTGCTACCCCTTTGAGTATCCCTTACAGAGCCTAAAGGGTTTGTTTTACTGATTATAAGTTAGACATCCACAGCAAGTTGAGCTGAGCCTTGGACAACACAGGTTTGAAATACACAGATTTTTTTCCTACTTGCAGGTTCTGCATTCACGGATTCATCCAATCTCAGGTTCAGTCAGCCATGGATATCAGTTGATTGAAGCCACAGATGCAGAACCCATTTACAGGGAGGCCAACTATAAATTATATATGGCTTTTCTACTTGGGGGTCAGGACCCCCCACCCCTGTGTTCTTCAAGGGTCAACTGTATATTGAATGATTTTTATTTCTCTCTTTAAAACTAAAACCTCCTAACTGCTAGCACTTTCAAAACATATCCAGAATCTCTCCCCTTCTCATCATCAATTGGTACTTGGAGCCACAATCATCTGTGCTCCAGAATAATCCAGTAGCCTTGTTCTAGCTACCACCCTCCTTGCACGCCCGCCCCCCCAACCCCCACCCCTTACCAACAGTCTACACTCTCCACTGCAGTTTGAGCAGTCCTGCCACATCTCTGATCTAAACCTCCAATAATGTCCCATCTCAGTTAAAGAAAAAACAAAACCACCCCACAGGGTCTCCCCTTACTCCCAAACTCCAGTTCTGTGTTCTTCCTTCTACCCCCCGACTTGCTCATTCCATCCCAGCTGCCTGGATTCCTTGCTATTTCTTAACCTCACCTGCACATTCCCACCCCAGGGCCTTTGCACATGCCTGGAATGCTTTTTCCTCCAGATACCTTCATGGCTTGTTCTCTCACCTCCTTTGGATTCTCTGTTCAAAAGTCACCCACTAAGAAGCCCTCAAAATCCCAAGATAGCACCTTTTTCAGTGCTCCTCACTTAGCTGCAGTTTTCTCTGCAATGCATCCCAATAGGCAGAATATGTTGTATTTATTGTCTCACTTTGCCCCTGGAATGTCAGCTCCATCAGAGTGGGAGCCTTATCTGTCTTGGAGATAGTTTTATTTCCAGTGCCTAACACGGTGCCTGGCCATTACTTGGTACTCCCTAAACATTTGGTAAATGGATGAACGGCTAAAGTCCCTTATGTTCTTTATTCTTATATGGGTCCTTCATTCCTTTTATTTTGTCTTCTGTGGCTCACTGGCTTCTGTTTGGAGAGGGGCCTCCCAGCTTGCCAGCATGGTTGCCTTCCTCCCTCGACCACAGGGCATAGTGTGCCAGGGTCTGCCTGTCTTTTCTGAGTATTTCCATGAGAACCATACTCAGCTGCTCAGTAATTACCCACCTTGCCACCTCCCAGGCTGCCTCAGCCTCCCGCCATCTGCCCCATTGGATTGAGGAGGAAAACTGGACAAAGTCCCTACCTCAATTCTTGGGGTCAGAGGACAAATCCTTTGAAAGGAGATCATCCCAAGATGCCCCAGGCTTTTGGGCACAATTCCCTTAGAATTGAATTCTGAAAAGTACATGCTGTCGAATAGCTGGCCTTGCTTATAAAGAGTGCCTTCATTTTCTGGGGGTAAAGGGAAGGAGAAGTTGCAGGATCTTCCTGGCCTGGGTTTTCCACTGCAACCTCAGTGTTATGATTATAATATTAGTTGCCTGTTAAGCACATACTTTATGCCAGGCAGTATTCTAGAAACCTAACTCACATAATCTTTTAGTAGCTGGGTGAATTAAGCAAGGTCCCCATTTTACAGGCAAGGGTACAGGCTAGAGAAATGGCAGCATCTACTGCCTATCACACAGCCAGGAAGTACCTAGGAGCCAGGATTCCAGCATTTTTTAGAATGCCTTTGACACTATTTTGAGGGGATCCCAGGACTGTGTCCTTTTCTGCCTTGTTTTTGAACAACACTTGTGTGAGAAAGGCAACTAAATACCCGCCACTACTCCCTAAGACTCTTTGGCGCCTGCTGCCTTGGAAGGATCTATAGCCCTGAAGTAGCCTCTGGATGTGGAGGGATTTGATAGGCATGGAAGTCAGATGACCCAGCCTGGCTGTTGTGACAATGTCTGGGAGTGGTCTGTCTGGGAGTGAAACAAGGCAGTGGTCTGTCTGAGCAGTTCCTCAGAACTCACCCACCCCCCACACACACACATGCGCACACACAGAGACACACACAGACACAGCCATGATTTGCTCATGATTTGTGAAGTCCAGTGTAGCCACTTTGCTGTGGCACCGTCTGGCAGTCCGGGGGTGGCTGGAACGTTCACCATTCCCAGTCTACTTAAGATGGCATTTAAAATGGAAAGGACCACTTAAAAAGAGATCGGGGCGGCAGAATTCCGAGGGAACCTAACTCTCCTACCTGTATCTTCCCACAGACTCAAGCCCACCCGCGCGCCTCCTGGCTACCCGGCCTTGCTGCGGCCCGGGTCCCGGTCCCGAGCGGCGGCCGGTCCTGGGCGAAGCGCCGCGCTTCCACGCACAGGCCAAGGGCAAGAACGTGCGGCTGGACGGCCACTCCCGCCGGGCCACGCGGCGCAACAGCTTCTGCAACGGTGTCACGTTCACGCAGCGGCCCATTCGGCTGTACGAGCAGGTGCGGCTGCGCCTGGTGGCCGTGCGCCCGGGCTGGAGCGGGGCGCTGCGCTTCGGCTTCACGGCCCACGACCCGTCGCTCATGAGTGCCCAGGACATCCCCAAGTACGCCTGCCCCGACCTCGTCACGCGGCCCGGCTACTGGGCCAAGGCGCTGCCCGAGAACCTGGCGCTGCGCGACACCGTGCTGGCCTACTGGGCAGACCGCCACGGCCGCGTCTTCTACAGCGTCAACGACGGCGAGCCGGTGCTCTTCCACTGCGGGGTCGCGGTGGGCGGCCCGCTCTGGGCGCTCATCGACGTCTACGGCATCACCGACGAAGTGCAGCTCCTCGGTAAGTCGCAGGCCCCGGCTGAAACTGGGTACCACCCCTGTGCGACCCGGTAGAGGTTCCCTGCGTGCAGAGATGTGTCTCTCATATTCGTAAACATTTCCAGAGGGCACACTTTGCCAGGTGATGTTCTAAGCAGTTTACACATTTATACTCATTTATTTCTGTAACAACCCTCCCACCCCGTTATATATGGATAGATGGGGAAACTGAGCACGGAGAGGTTAAATGACTCGCATTGCAAAGCCAGGAGTGCAATGCACACGGGTTGTGTCCACAGCCCACACTCTGGTCTAGGTTCATTCACTTATGCCTTCACTCTGTTCTTGCTCATTCACTCATTCATTCACTCTCCCATGCATGCATTTATTCATTGGCTCATTCACTCGCATATGCATTTATTTATTTGCTTATTCATTCATTCACTCACTCACAAGTCCGCTTTCTCACTCAGCAGTCAAACTTGCATCCTATTTCTTCACTATCTACAATGCCCAGGCAGTGAGCACTGATATGTATCAACCCACCTTAAAGGGGTTCATGGTCCACTAAAGGCAGACAAGTGTGGCCTGACTCTTAACAGAAGTGGCATCCCTTTATGCTGAACTCCCAGCAGTGAGAACTAGAGGGAGGAGAAGCTTGCTGCCCTTATCTTAAAACCTTCTTTCTTTATTTTTTTTACTTTTTTGTATTGAGGTAAAATTCCTATGACCTAAAAGTAACGATTTTAAAATGCACAAGTCATTGGTATCTAGTTGGTACCCATCACCTCTGTCTAGTTCCAAAGCATCTTCATCACCCCAAAGGTGATGTGGGTATCCTGTGATGCCCTCTTCTTCCTTCCCATCTGTCCCTGACAACACCCACCTACCTGTTGAAGTCACAGGTTGCCCCTGAACCAACCCAGCCTCAATTTCTGGGGGAGCGAGTGGACAGATTTCTAAGGGGACCTGGACGTAGCCCTCCATGAAGGCACAGATCTAAAGTGCATTCTGGGTCTTCCCCTCCCCAGAGGCAGCCAGTCTTCCTACTTGTCACCGTAGATTAGTTGTGCCTATTCTTGAATTTCATGTAAATGGCACCAAAGTTTATGTGCTTTTGTGTCTAGCTATCTCAGTATAGTATTTTTTAAAATGCATTTGTATTGCTGCTGTGTGTATAGGTAATTTGTTTCTTTTTATTGCTGGATAGTATTCCCTGATCTGGATGGACCACAGTTGATATAGATGAATGTTAGGGCTATTTCTGGCTTTTCAGTCCTGCATCTTGAGGAAAAACCTTGACTCAGGCTCCTCATGCCCAGTCCCCAAGCCCTCACTCATACCCACCCAGCAAGGGGGAATGATCCATGCATCCAGGCTGTACCCTTCTCCCTGCTGCCAGAGGAAGGAAGGTAGAACTACTGAGTGGTTAAGAGCAGGGGAATGACCTCTGCCCCACACCTAACTCATTTGTCAGCTGTGTGGCTTTCGCCGGGTGACTGAACCTCTCTGTACTTCAATCATGTCTTATGTAAAAAGGGCTGATAATAGCACCAGACTTCTGGGAGTGTTGGCAAGATTACACGAGAGGAGGTATGAGAGTCATGTAACACCGTGTCTGGCACATGGAAAGCACAAGAAATCACAACTAAGAAACAAGAATCTTTGGGGTTCGCATGTGGGCCAAAGCACCCGTCTGAATTCCAGGCTTAGGCAGACTAAATAATGAATAGCTACCCACCCTCCAAGCTGGGGCCTTACCTGGCATCTTAACCATCTCCCTCCTCCTCCCATACTCTTTTCCATGGAAGCCTTTGGTATTTCACCTCCAGGAAATGTCAGTTTCTAAAACCTCCTCCATCTCTTGTCACTCTTTTTTGGAGCTAGGAAACAATCACACCTCATTCACCTGCTCCCTCAGACAGCCATATCTCCAATTACAGCCAAGAAATCACTGCCACTTCCTAATCAGCGCAAGTGGATTAGGAGTCTTTAAAAATACAAATTGGAAGCAGCCTGTGATGACTTAATGAGGCTGAATAAGCCCACGAGCAGTCAGATTCTTCCCCCATTCGTTTGTTCATTTAATGAACCCCTCCAATATCCCAAACCTCCTGGAGGGGAGGGAGAGGCAGCATCTGCTGGGGAGTCTGTGTAAGTTGTGAGAGGTGAGCCTCAGTGTCCATACCTGCAAGCTATATGAACAGAAGGGCTAGTGCAGCACCTCAGGCCTATGCGCAAAACAGGGGAAAGGGGAAATGCGATTAGGAGGAATTTTCTCTCTGGGTTATGGGTGATTTTCACTTCCTTCTTCATATTTTTATCAGTTATCTCTTTAAAAGTATGTATGTAGGGCCACTCCTGGTGGAGCAGGTGGTTGAGCGCAGCGCTGTGAAGCTGTCCACAGCCTCTGCAGTGCCAATTTGATCCCCACCAGCCGGCGAGGGTCCCACATGGCGCGCAGACCTCTCCTGCCACGCCCGCTGCTCCCCTCAGCAGTGTATTTCATCAGTCTGCCTGTTCTGTTCCCCGCTCTGTCTCTGGTGAATCCTCTCACCCTCCCGCGAATCTGGCCTGAACCCTGGTTCTTGTATAAATAAATAAATCTTTTTTTTTTTTAAAAGTATATATGTAAAAAGCTTATGTTGCTTTTGTAATCAGAAATGGCAATATAGTTCGTTTCCTTTTTGAAGGTAATATGAGCTACCAGGGAAGTTTCTGGCAGGTGATCAAGACCCAGTTAATATCTATATCCTTTCCTGGGGTAGGACGAGTTGACATTAGTTACATAAAGAGATTACATGTGATATTTTTCCCCCCACGTTATCAACAGTGATTTATAATGAGGATAAAAAACTATCAGAGAAATAAGAAGTAAGCTAAGCAGTTCTGATTTTGTATAGTTCGAATGCAGGAAACAGGTATTCTGCTGAGGAACATGAGAACCACAAAGTACTCCCCCACCCTCCTGCCAAATGGGGTCCCACCTTCCCAATTCTGGGAGAACTTGGCTTCCCGAGGGTGGTGTCTAAGGTACCAAATGGATAAATAAAAGGTTCCGGTGTTTGGCTCTCCAGAGTTCTCTGGCTTCCTCTTCCTCACAAGGAAAGTGACATAGTTCCTTTAGAGATTCTCCTCTATGAAACCTCAGAATAGAAAAGTCCAGAATAGGGACCCCTCCCATCCACTTCCCTCATTAAAGTCAGATCCACTGGATAAAGCCAGAAAACCAGTAAGCAAAAGTGGCATCTGGGTCACGCTATCAAACGTAAAGAAAAATACAGGATGATTGTCTTTGCATATGAATTTCAGAAAAATAGCAATGTTTACTACAAGTATGTCTATACCATATTTGGGACATGCTTATAAAAGGATTTGTTATTTTTTTGAAATTCAGATGTAACTGGGCATCCTATATTTTATCTGGGCACCCTCTCTGGGTGGCATCTTCCCCTTCATCCCCATTGTATTTGCCCTAAAACTTGAGCCAAAGTTAATTCTCAGAAATGAAAAGGGGTTTGTCAGCTTAGTATATATTTTTTACCCAGTGGAATTGTGTTTGCAGCTCAGCATCTTCCTGCCAGAGAAGGCTATATTCATGTGACCAGATCTTGGAGTGCCTCTTCTCACCCCAAGACAGGGTGATGTAGTCCCTTTTAAAGAATTCGGGGCTCAGAGAAGCCAATTACCAAGCTGGAGAGTGGCAGAGCCAGGCTTAGCACCCAGGTGCATCTGTATTTCATTTCGTGGTCCCCAGCTCACATTGGGGTCACCTGGGGGCCCTTGAGAACCCCACTTTCCAGTCTGCATCCCAACCAATTAAATCAGAACCTCCCCAGGAAGTTAGAATTCTTAAGACCCCTCAGTGACTCCAGGGTGCGGCCAGAGCTGTGATCGCACCACCACCTTTTAAGAGTGCTCCTCCCTCCTCCCCACTGCAAGCCAAGCTACTTCTTCAGACCTCTGACTTGGGGCATGGCAGCATCACAACCCCCCTATCTTGTTTTCTTTGACCCTACTTCATCCCTAACCCTACCCCCAAACATGCTTCCCCTGGCTAGATAGCCCTGCTCTGATGTTTGCCGTAAGCCCTTGAGCATGTGTTTCTTTAAGAAATAGGTAGAGGCATCCCTGGTGGCCTAGAGGCGCTGGGACCATCTCACCCATGATGACCTGAGTTCATCAGGCCAGGGAGCTAAGCCTCATGGCACAGCAGACCTCGCCTGTCTGGCCCACTGCTCCCTCAGCAGTGTATTTCAGTAGATCCTCCTGTTCTGCTCCCCATTCTGTCTCCGGTAAATCCTCTTAACCCCACCTCTGGCCTACATCCAAGTTCTCCTATGCAAAAATAAATATAAATAAAATCTTTTTTTTAAAAAAAGAAATGAAATAGGAGCTCCCTGGTGGCACAACGGTTGAGTGCTGGCTTGCGAAGCTGCCTGCAGCCTCTGCAGCACCGGTTCGATCCCCGGCCGCCAGGCGAGGGACCCACATGGCGCGCGGACTTCTCCTGCTGCCCACTGCTCCCCTCAGCAGTGTACTTCGTCAGTCTGCTGTCCCCTCTGGCTCTCCCCTCTGCTCTCCCCTCTGGCTCTGGTGAATTCTTTCACCCTCCCGCGCTTCTGACTATACCCAGTGCTTGTATAAATAAATAAATAAATAGATAGATAGATAGATAGATAGATAAATAAATAAATAAATAAATAAATAAATAAATAAATAAATAAATATTTTTTTAGAAAAAAAAAGAAATAGGTAGAGTTAGTTACAGGTTTTCTATTCAAATGTGAATGGTATTGTGCTAAGGCTCTTGTTTTTCTTTTTTCACTCACCCCTCTGTAGGATTTAATCTGGAATTTTGTTCCCTAGAGGCCTCCCACTTGCACAGATTTGGCCTGCCTGCTACTAGCCTCTCTCCCAAGCACACCCAGCTGTCATGCCTCAGGGTCTTTGCACTTACTAGTCCCTCGCCTGGACTGCTCTTTCTTTAGATCTGAATGTTGGTTGAAGGAAATGCTGCCT